CAAACACAGTGAGCCATTCTTATCAGTTCCGGAAATAGTGGGAAAAGCCCCCAAATCCCAGTTCCTAAATGTCAGCCAAGGGCCAAACTTGCAGCAGGCCTTTCCAAAGATAGCAGTCTCACATACATACCATCAGTTATGTTAACTCTTCTCTGCACAAGTAGCATTATGGACTGATCATTCCAACCTCTCTTCTTTCCTGCCTCATCTTCCGCAGGGAGCTGGAGGGGAGGTATGAGGCACTTTGTTGGTGCCCCTGGGAAGCGGGTAGAAGTGGGGCAGAAAGGTTGGTGAGAAGTAAAAGGCAAGACTTGGACTCTCAAGTTAGGTCCAGGGTAGTGAGGATTCTGAGAGGTAGTTTGGTGAAACTTAAAAAGCAGGAATTTTATTATAGAATTGGGCTGAGTTAGGTTCAAATCCTGCTTGATATTTCTATAGAACTCAAAGAAGAAATTTCAAACCTTTCTTGTCTCTGCTCATACAGATAATCCATAAGACTCTCTGTAGTTTGGTAGGAAGTAAGATAATGCATTTTGGGGAAATATCATAGAGTAGACCTATAGGGCTGCCAATTAGTAAGCGAGTCAAAAACAAAATTAATATTTTTGAATGTAGATCCAATGTTCTAAATTTGGGTTGAGATTCTCATTCCATTTAAAATTTTTTATGATTATGTCTGAGCACTTAATGTAAATATGCCTGGGCATGCTAAGGGTAATACGAGGATGTTAATGATGTGGTCTGTGCTCTCAGGATGCTTACAGTCTAGTGTGGATCTAATGGGACACAAGAGAGATTCTAAACAAGGCAACAGATGAATTCATGAAATTACAGATATTTTAACTCTAGAATTACAAGGGATAGAGCAAAGTGAGCTATAGAGAGGCTATTTGCCACGCACAACAGCTTCTTCTAGTAACTTACTGTTAATGTATCACCTATGAATTTAACTCCTCTTGTTAGACTTGTTTTTCATATCTTTGTTATAGTTTCAGATTATGTCATCTCCTGAGTCAACAAATTAAACAAACTCATACTCTTGGGTAAGGAGCATCTTGATTTACTTGTCTGATGTGTTCATCCAAATAGCACTGAGTTTGATTTTCCACCCTCTATTTCTCTAGCCTGAGGGATTCTTATCTTCCTTACCTATCTATAAAGTCACCTTTCTCCTTAACTGTTTCTAGGCTTTATTCAAGTCCATAATTGTTCATTAAGCATGAAAACCAGAACAGCAGACGTGTTCTCAATTCAGGCTTGCTGTGGCTTTGCATAATGCTTTGTTAGTTTCATGAAGGAGTCTCACACTTGAGCTTTGTTTTCAGGACCGCCAAACTTGTCTCTCAAGCACCTGGCCAGTTGTCCTGGTTTTCAGGTCTCTACTACAATCCCTGGCCTCACATTCAAATATACAGATCTATACAACTAGAGATTTGTGTGCTCATCATAAAAGACTTGTGACTGATCTGCTCTGTATCCACACTCATTTTAAAATAGAGGCCAGATCACACTGTGATTAAGGGTATCTGTTCTTCAGTCACAAGTGCCTTGTTCTAATCTCAGCCCAGATACTTAGCAGCTGTGAGACTTTGGGCAATTTACTTAATCCCTGTTTTCAATTTCCTCACCTATGAGATGAGGAATAAAATGTTAGTACCACTCTTAGAATTAAATAAGAATATTTTTGACATGCTTCAAGCAATGTCTGACACTATGTTATGTTAGAAAAATACAGAAGTTAGAAAAACTGCCTTATTCCATATTACAATGTCTCTTAGATTCCTTCCTTTTATTACAAATAATTGCTTTGAGTTGTGTCTTCCTTGATAAACCTTTTACTAGCTAAAGAGACTAACTGTTAGAGGTATCCAGTCTTCTTACACATTCACATTTTTAGTCTATAACCTAGTTTCCTATGTCAGAAATCTGATTTACGCTAAAGCAGAACGAGAAATGAGAACTTCTATTGGAAGAAGACTGTGTTATGATTAACAGGAGAGAGAATACCAAGAGTTTCCTTTTTCTTCTGGTTAAAAATGTGCTTACAAATCCCTTATCGTGACAAATTCTACAATGTCTCTTTCCCTTTTCTATTTACACTGACATTTTGAATTCGTTCTTCCCACCAAATGAGGCAATCGAGGCAGAAACATTAGTCTGAGTGGATGCATAGATCAGTGTTGCTCTAAGAAAAAAAAATACTGATGTGTGATCAGGTAGAGACCATAACATACAAAAAAATAGAGAGCGAGAAACTCTCTTGAAATGAGAAAACAAAAACAGAGTGCCCAACACACAGTAGGCACTAAGCAAATGCTAACTTCTTTCTCTCACTTTGCTTGGCTTCCAGGAGCAATTTCTTCCCTCAATATTTATATTGACCTTTCTTTCCCTTTAGTTAGGAAAGCACAAGGTTTTTAGTCTTCTTTTAAAGGCTCATACTATAAACTGTGTGATGTTTAGCTTCTGCAGAGGTGTGAAGAAGTAGTCCTGCTGTAAAAAGTGGAGTAAGGTTTTTTTTTCTTGGGTGGAAGCCGAGAAAATGTTAGACAAGCCAAGGTGAAGACTTTTCCCGACTCATGATAGCATGGATACATGTGTGTATGTTTAGGGGTGTGAATGTGTGTGTCCAGGTTCTGGAACCATTTTGGCAAGGAGAAGAAAGGAATTAATCCAAAGTGATAGATAGCAAAATGGTTTGACCCACCTCTCACGACCCAGTGTATGGTTTTCCTCCTTTGCATTCTGTGTAGGCTGGAGTTAGCCATCCTTTAAAATTCCCATCTTGGAAATACACAATCCAATTAAAATAACATTTTGTGAGCTGAGCAGACAGATCATGACCACTCACCTGGTCAAACCAGAGACCAAGACTTAATTACTTGAGTCTCACAGAATTTTAAGAACTTGGGATCAGAATAGCGGCTCCTATCCATTGAAGTTTAGTGCAGTTGGGGGTCCCCATAAGGTTAAAGGTTTGTGGTTGGACAGACTTCCTGTTTAAAAATGCTCCTCCTGGGCTTCCTTGGTGGGGCAGTGGTTGAGAGTCTGCCTGCCAATGCAGGGGACACGGGTTTGTGCCCCGGTCCGGGGAGATCCCACATGCCGCGGAGCGGCTGGGCCCATGAGCCATAGCCACTGAGCCTGCGCGTCCGGAGCCTGTGCTCCGCAACGGGAGAGGCCACGACAGTGAGAGGCCCGCGTACCGCAAAAAAAAAAAAATAAATAAAAAAAAAATTAAAAATGCTCCTCCTATTTCTTTCAATTACATGCATGGCTTTAAACAGGAATATGCTTTAAAAAGCTTCAATGGCAAATGTTCAAAATATAAACCCCTTGTTCATGATAGATTGTTAAAGGTAGTGAGATGTGTAAAGGTAAAGCCCTGAAGATAACTATAGATCAAAAGTAGATATTTTGCTTCCTTTTCAACCCATTCTAGAAAAAGCTTTTTTCAAACCAAAATGCTGCGAACTGGACTCTCCTGATAGGGACACAAATGAGTGGACTTCTCCTTCCTAATGAGGAAAAGTGGGGGCTTTTGAAAAGTTAGTGTCAGCCCTGCTGCAAGCCCACATGTTTCACAGGAAAGACCACGGGCAGAAAGGATGGCAGCGGCTGCAGCCACTGCGAGGCCTCCAGTTGGCTTGTTATATGATCCTCACCAGCTTCCCTGGGAAGAGGAAAAACAAATTTTTCTCAGATGGCTCAGATTGTCTTCGATACTCAGCAGCAGGGGTTTCTGACAACTTTGTTCTCTCAGGTTTTAGGGATTTAAAGAGAAACAAAATATTACACTTCTAACTGGCACAGGAAGAAACCAAAGTCTACCTCATTAGTGAATGGAAAACAGTGGCCCCTTTGGGCCAGGTCAGGAGGTCAATGTGTATATGGCTGAAAGACCCTATTTGTTAACCAAATACCCATTACATGGGTCAGGTCGAAGGCTAGCCTGATGAGTAGGCAACTCCTCATATGGCTTCATTTCAGGGACTGAAATACCACTCCCTTGATCCTCCAAATGGGAAATATGGCTCCTACCTGCCCACTGATGCCTGAAACGTCTTTTATAGGAAAAATGCCTTTCATTCAGAAGTCAGTAATAAGGTTCATAATGAAAGTACCTTAGGTGTGACTTAAGAACATACTGAGGTGTGAATAACTGGAGTCTGGATTCTCTCCAGAGTAAGTTTAATGGTTCAGGGAAGAAAGAGCCTCTGGCTTGAATGGGAAGGAAGAGATATAAGCAAGGAGAAGGGAGCAGAAAGGGAAGACCGGAGAGCAGCCAGCCAACTTTGTTCATTTGTTGTTGTTCACTTTCAAAATCAGATGGAAAGCACTTACAGTGTCTGGCACATAACATGCTCTTAATATTAATTATTCTTATTTATGGTTATGGCAGGTTCAGGACTGAACCTCCCTGCTCTGAAGCTATAGTGCCTTGCACATAAAATCAAATGAAAATTATTCCTGTTCCATTTTCTCTATCCTCTCCCTATCCTAACATTTTCTCTTTGCGTTACTTTTGTTTAAGGGAAGCATCTAAAGGAGCCTTTTGTTTGAGGGAAGCATCTAAAGGAGTCTTAATAGGCTTTATATCAAGAATGGGGAGAGATACAATTAGAAGCATATCTAAGCTAACTGTTGGCATTCAACCGCATGCCACATGTCTGTGTCACATTTGTGTATCTTATCTTTCCTAATGTCGTTAAAGAATCCTTGATTAGTACCTGTCTAGTTATGGAACCCTGTGACTGTAATCATCCATTCAAATGGCTCACCTCCAGGCACATCACCTCCACACAGCCTTCCCTGATTACTCCAGCTCACAGCGAGTTCTTCAGGAACTACTCGAATGGCACTAGTTACCATTACCTCTCATTTGGCGTTCTATATACTTTGCCTCCTAAATAAAAAACTTTTATTTTCATCTAGTTTTATTATTAACATATACATGGCTATTCAGCATTTAATATGTATGTCTATTTTTATCTCTCCAGTTAGACCATAAACTTCTTGTTAAGGTCCAGGTGGTGGGTAGCCTCTGAGATGACCTGCAGTGATCCTCCTATCCAGGTATTCATGCCCTTGGGTAATCCCTTCCCCCCAGCTGTCTGACGGACCTGGTCACTTGATTTTAATGAATAGAATAAGGCAAAAGTGTTAGGATGTCCCTTCCAAAATTGGGCTACAACAAGTCCATGACTCCTGTCCTGGTAGCACTCTGGCTCCCTCTTGCTTGCTTGATGTGGTGGAAGCCAGTTGCCATGTTGTGAGCTACCCTGTGGCAGGGAGCTGAGGAAAGCCTCTGACTAACAGCCGGAAAGAAACTGAGGCCCTCAGCCTCCCAGTTTATGGGGAATTGAATCTTGACAACAACCACGTGAGTGAGCTAGTAAGTGGCTTTTCCGTCAGTCGAGCCTTTGCATGAGAATGCAGCCCTGGTAGACACCTTAACTGCAATCTTGTGAGAGTCCCCGAGGCAGAAGCACCCAGGGAAGCCATGCTTGAATTTCTGATGAACAGAAACCGTGAGATAACAAATGTTTGCTGTCTTATGCTGCTGATTTTTGGATTAATTTGTTACGCAGCAGTAGATAATTAATACAGTCCATGTTTTGTAGTCCACTTATGCAGTAATCCCATAAGTCTGGAACAAACAAACACCTGGAATATTGGAGAAACCTGCTTTTAGTTACCTGGAGAACATCTATTTTCTTCCCCTCTCAGGTAGAGAGTATGAGAGATGGAACCTATGACTTGGTCCCAAACGACTGGATAATTGCGCTCTTGGTGTATGAGGCCAGGTCAATTAACGGGAGAAGTTTACGAATAGTGACCAGATCAGGCTGACCTTTCAAGGGCTGAGTGACACTGTGCCTCGATGTGAGACAGTCCTGAAGGCCCATCTCCACTCCAGAGCTCCTCATAGGATTGCCTGAGACCTCAAAGACAAACGCATTTCAGGCTGGCTTTTTCCTCTGCCAAATTCTACCTTCTTCACTTTCTCACGGTGTATCTCCCAATAGTACTTCCAATAAACCCTTTGCACACAACTCCTCCTCTCATTCTAAGACAATCAAGACAAGGGGGTAGCAACTAGTGAGCTCTACCATTCACTGCCATACACGGAAATGTAGACCCATTGTCAGGTGTTGTTCAAGGGAAGATGGAAATGCAAGTGTGTAAGTGCAGTATTCCAATCTTTCTATATTGACAAATAATTCAAATCCAAGAAAAAAACACCTTTGAAACAAAACATATCTGTGGGCCAGATTCAGTTAATGGACCATGGGTTTGGCTCATCTAAGCCCTGCATCTGAAGTTGGATATTTTAAATTTTGTTTCTTTGTTAATATTGGTTCACCATTTGCTTAAAAGAAGAATTGGACATTTTGTGCATGAGTGGGAGAGGGGAGAGTGGGGGAAGCTTAGTTTTCTTTGACCTCAGTACCATGTAACTAAGTACTTAACATGATTTCCCCTTTCCTTTTCCCTCCCTCCCTTCAAGATGTGCTGAAGAAGTAGATTTCTAGTGGATTTCATGGATATTAGGGGTAGAGATTCCCCTCTCCCATCATGTTTTTGATACTCTTCCTAAAGGTGTCAGATACTAAGGGTGAGCAAACACCCTATTTACATGTGTTATCCCCGTGTAATTATTAATATTCTCCCCTTTTCTCTCCCCGACATGTCCCAGTGTAGATAATGAATTTTGTCTCTTCGATGGGGGGGGAATGATAGCTCTCTGGGTATGTTTTTTTTTTCTTCTATGAATAACACCTTTGGACTTTCAGGATAATTAAGATATACTGCCTTCTAAAGAATGAAATTCATTAAAAGTAACACTTTTCTCTTTCAAGTTGAAATCATCCCCAATGTCCCAGTGCAGCAATTTGACCCAATACTACTTTTCAGTGGAATAGTTTTCACACTCACTTCACAGTTTAAACCAATTTGATTTCACTACCAATTTGCTTTATTTTAACTTGGATATGCTGAAGTAGTCCAGACTGCTTCCAAACACTTACTGCCTCATTAGCTGATGGCTGTAGTCTGATGACTTTCAGAGAAAATGAGAGCTTCCAGGGTGGTGGACACCAGTGGAAACAGCTCTTTGCAAACTAAAGGAGAGGAAGTCAGAATTGGATTTAATTCTACCCTTTGTTAGCTTCGGAGTAATTAGCATTTATTTAAATGAAATTGTAATTATTTTCAGTGGTGCTGACTGATGGGAAATCCCTGGGTAAATAGACTGAAGTCATCACACTATCCGTCACATAGTTGAGTAGGTACATAACAAGGGGAGCATTGTCTGTTAGAGTTCAGTGTAATGTTATAAGTTCAGCCATAAAGATAGATGTGGATGTAAATCTTATTTGTGTGTATGTATAGGTACATATACATCCCCCATATGTGTATGCATGTGCCCCCATATATACACATATGTATATGCACATACATTAAAAAATATATATGCTTTAAAATATGACTTCTTTCCCTTTCCCTTATGTATAGATTAGGTTCTTTGATTACAGTGAGAGTCTGAGGCTCACTCTGTCTATCTCAGGGACAAATGTGAGAATAAGAGAGATGGGAATCTTTCAGGGAAAAAAGGAGTCAAGGTATAAATCCGTGCTATGCTATACTCTAAAAGTAATTCAGGATCTAGGTGGTTACTCTTAGTTGTCTACCTAGTCTTCATTCCCATTCCACCATTCTTCTTTATTTTAAAAGCTTCATTCTCTTTTTTCTAGGAAAGGTGGACTACTTCCCAGCCTCAGAATGAATCATATTTTGTCTAAAGCAGGCAGCATAATCCAATTCCCTTTGCTAGTGGTTGCTCTAAGGGCAAGCATGAGAACAGGATCTAGGCAGTGAGGCATGGAAGAAAATCTGTTGTGGTAATTTGAGAAAGATTTTGCTCTCTGGTAAGACAAGAGATGGTGATGAGGCTGGTTCAGTTTTTCTGCCATGAAGTGGTGTGCAAAGATTTTGTGATTGGTGCTATGGCAGCCCTCTTGAAGGCTAAAAGCGTAGAGATGAAAAACCAATATGCTGAGGAGGATCTTGCAGAAGGATAGAAAGGAATCTGGGTCTTTTTTTTTTTGCGGTACGCGGGCCTCTCCCTGTTGTGGCCTCTCCCGTCGCGGAGCACAGGCTCCGGACGCACAGGCTCAGCGGCCATGGCTCACGGGCCCAGCCGCTCCACGGCATGTGGGATCTTCCCGGACCGGGGCACGAACCCGTGTCCCCTGCATCGGCAGGCGGACTCTCAACCACTGCGTCACCAGGGAAGCCCGGAATCTGGGTTTTTGATAATGTTCCTAAACAGTTTCTCCACATCTAGACCACCTATCTCCAGACTTATTGTCATGTGAGACAGTGAAAAGTCTTTATTGCCTAAGACACTCTTGGTTTGGAATCTATCAAAACATCTCTGAAAATGTCCAAGGAAGCTCTAGGGACCAGGTTATTTTTGCCTGCTCAGTACCAGAATTTTCTGGATATTTATTTTCCTATATTTAGGATGACTTGAATCAGAATCAGGGGAGCTTTCTGAGCATCAGTGTTTCAAAGTCTTAACTATTCAGATCAAATTCCATCCCTGTTATGCTTCAAGACTGAGCAATGGTACAGCTCTTCCTTTGACATACTGCAGGTTTATCAGTTAGATATGTCAAGTGACAACATGAAAATATTTAGCTTTGGTACATTTTGCCTTCACACTTCCCTTTGCTGATTGATTATTCATGCAATTAATAAATATTTATTGAGCACTTGACATGTGTTAGGTTTGGGAATTTAGTGGGGAGATACAGAAATGCTCCCTGCCTTCTTAGAATTTACATTCTAGTAAGGTTATACAATTTCCATATTCATCTGGCCTTTTGATGCAGAATTCTAGGGATCCTCAGATGTTGTGCTGCAAGAAGAGGATATGGAAACCTCCCAGAATAAATGCCTGTCTCTTTAAAGAAGATGAAGATGGTAACAGGTAACTCTTTTTGTATTCTTTTTCTTTTTCCTTTTTTTTTTTTTGCTATGATATTGAAAGATGTTGAGATAATGGTGAAATATTGCATTGAGATTTTCTTGTTATTACTAGAGCCATATTCGAAATATCTAGTCTGGAACCAGGATATTGTACCCTTTGTAGATTACTAATCTGGATTTTTCAGGGACTTATATATATATATGGATATATGTATATATATATATATATATATATATATATATTCAACTCCCATCATAATATTTTCAAATAATCCAGGTGATGCATACCAAAGTGGGTGATGGTAAATCATAACAAGGGTCTCCCAGCTTTTAACTTAGTATTGAATCAACTGCAAATCCTAGGATTCCAGGACGTTCATTTGGAATAAAGGGGAAGTAGCTGTGCCTTGAGTGGCTTCTCCATGTTCACGTGTGTAAGGACAATAATTTGAGAGTTTTTGCCAACAACTCTAGACCAGTAATCACCTTAGGTCTGTGTGGATTTTCTGGATGGGGGAATCATTACTTCTTGTCCTAAAGCAGCCTCTCTTTATCATGAAGTGAGTGCATTGAGCTAGTGAGCAAGTGAGTTGTTGCTTTTTGCTTATTTGTCTCCTTCATATCTTAGGCCCCCGGGGGCTGTTCAACTACCCAGAATTAATATTTACGGAGAGCTCTGGGTCAGATAAGGATGGATCTCTATTTGGTGGCTTTCTGTGGTGGTTTTGGTATTCTATGGTACAAAAATATACTCCCTTATAGGTATATTTATGGAAAGTAAGTTGATAGTGTTTTCTTTGATTCCTCCTTTGCTTTTCCACATAGTGTCCTTTTACTGTTCTTTGGTTGAAATTCTAATGAAGGTTATCTTCAGCATCCCCTTTAGCAAAATTTCCTTATTAAATAAAGCTTTATTTTCTAGGCCAGTTCTCTGCCTTTCTGATGCCACCCCAGAATAGTGATTGTCCTTACCTGTCCCCCAACCCCCTTTAAGCATCTAAATTAAGCCTCTTAGTCTCCTTCTTCCATCACTGCCAGGTTTTCTAATCTGCTTTTCAAAGGTGGTGCCTGGAATTGGTAACCATAACCTTGGCCCAGTACTTACTTTAAGAATCAAGTTATATTCTGGATCTTGGCCTAGCACAATGGTTGGAGGCATGTAAGTCAGCCTGTATTATTATTATTTTTTCAACTTTCCCAGGGAAACATTTTTATTTACTTGTGGTCCTGTGTTTCAAAGAAATTTGCTTCTTTAAAAAAATGTATCACTTAGAGGTAGTGGGGCAGAAAGTAGATTAGTCCTGTGATGAATTGTTTATCACAGTGTAGTTATAAAAACCCTTAAGGTACCCTGAGAAAACCATAATTCAGAAAGCGTCATGTACCACATTGTTCACTGCAGCACTATTTACAATAGCCAGGACATGGAAGCAACCTAAGTGTCCATTGACAGGTGAATGGATAAAGAAGATGTGGCACATATATACAGTGGAATATTACTCAGCCATAGAAAGAAACGAAATTGAGTTATTTGTAGTGAGGTGGATGGACCTAGAGACTGTCATACAGAGTAAAGTAAGTCAGAAAGTGAAAAACAAATACCATATGCTAACACATATATATGGAATCTAAAAAACAAAATGGTTCTGAAGAACCTAGGGGCAAGACAGGAATAAAGTCGCAGATGTAGAGAACGGACTTGAGGACATGGGGAGGGGGAAGGGTAAGCTGGGACGAAGTGAGAGAGTAGCACTGACATATATACACTACCAAATGTAAAACAGATAGCTAGTGGGAAGCAGCTGCATAGCACAGGGAGATCAGCTCGGTGCTTTATGACCACCTGGAGGGGTGGGATAGGGAGGGTGGGAGGGAGATGCAAGACGGAGGGGATATGGGGATATATGTATACATATAGCTGATTCACTTTGTTATATAGCAGAAACTAACAAAACATTGTAAAACAATTATACTCCAATAAAGATGTTAAAAAAGAACCCCAAAAAACCCTTAAGGTGAATTTGAAACAGAAAACCAAGCGGCAATCTGCATTGCTGTCAGCTGTGTCTAGGAGCTAGCTCCACAGATGGTGAATGGTGAAAAATATTTTACATGATTAAAGTCTGCGTTTTCATTTCTAAAATATATACCTTTGGTACAAAGCACAATTATATCTATACATGAAGTATGAACATTTTGCTGGACTTTTTGTAGATTTGGTCAACTGGATATTTACATTCCATTCTGTATTAATTATATTAATTAAGTAATTATTCAACTTTTGGGTTGGTATTAATTTGACACTTGGACTTAAAATAACAAGGACTGGTGGCCTACTTGTGGCTTTAAGGAGTAGAAGCCAATTGGAGCAAAAGTACAGACTTGTTAATTTTAAAATATGCATGTTTCTGTCCCTTAGGCAGACCTGAGTCCTCAGGCTAAGCACTCCCCCCTCCTCTCCTTCCCCTGTCTCCCTCCCTCTGTCTCTCTACAGTTCTACACAAACAATTCTTGGTGAATGGGGTGTGAGGAGTGGAGAAGCAGTATTAAATGTTTTGATTTCATGGACCTTTAAGTTCTTTTTGGCAACAGAGTTAGATTAAACAGAAATAATATTGTCTAAAACAGACTTATGTAAGCAGAATGCATTGACAAGAAGCTGAAAGAAAAACCTGAGTAACATAAGAACAGGTCTGTAAAGGAATATTACTTCTTTATTCTTCTATAATATGACAATTTTTTTTCAAACCCTCCTTCAGCTGGGTTCTCCATCAGGTGCAAGTTTAGGAGGATTATGTGTTGCTGTGGCCTTGTTTGTTTGTCTTGAGGAGAGGGTGGCTTATAGATTCCTGTACCCAGGAATCTGCTTAGACATACATTGCCAGGTTTGACCCTTGATTGTTGGTCAACGTAAGAAGCTGTGGAGATGCTCTTGATCTGGTAGGCAGGGCCCCTCACTGTTACCAGCTTTGTGCTCTGTGCCATGCTTGGTGTCTGTAATTATTCTGCTACCTCTGAGACCAGCTGGTGCATAAGGTGATCTAAGACAGTATCCCCATACTCACTTGACCACCCCCCTCCACCCCAGGGGACTCTTGTTGAATGTAAACAGCTGTGCCAGGGAAGGGGGGCCTGGGATCCTCTTTATGGAATCCACTGCTTTTCTTTTTCTGTCTCTTCCCCCGTGGCTCTCATTTCCTTTAGCCAGGGATAGAGAAGTTCCTCTTTGGACTAAAAGCCATAATGACATGGTAGGGGAGAGGGCTTGTTAACCTGGCTCTCTAGCCAGTCTTTTCTTCTCCCACATCCGTCTCTGGGCTTTGGCTATCTGACACAAGATGAAGGAGGTGGGTGCTGACATAAAACTCTACGAAAAAAGTATTCTCTTTTATAAATCATTTCTTAGTTCTAATTTGTATTTATCCTTTGTTTCATTTTTCATTGCTTAGACAAGCCTAGAGCTTGCCTATCTTATCTACCTTCCCCCTCTTCTGATTCCCCCCACATCAAAAACCCCATAGCTGAGTCATGACTGTCATTGGGCACCAGACCTCAGTAAACAGTTTTTCTTCCCTACAGCTACTTGCCATTGGCTATCAAGGTATCTTGAGGGCTACTTGCTGTTGGACATGAGTGATTTGTCCTTTCTCCTTACCGATCAAGCTCCTGGAGGGCTCACAGAATCCCTCTTCCTAAAATATGAAATGGATTCATTATGGCCTGGATGTTGCATGTAGTGGTAGCCAGGCTGGTAGTCTGGTCTTATAACTTCTTCCTCATCTACACCATGCTCCATGGACTCATGAAACATTAGAGCTAGAACAGTTAAGTGCATATGTTCTTAACAAGCTACAGAACATCATCTCATAAAGATATTTTGTGCTTCTTTCCCATCAATCCCTACCCCTTCTTCCAAAGACAACCAGTGTTCTGATTTCTTTAATCATAGATTAGTTTTGTCTGTAGACTTAATTAGAATATGTGTCTGGCTTCTTTCTCTCCAAAAGAAAGTTCATCCATGTTGTATGTATCAGTAACTCATTGCTTTCCTTTGCTGAGTAGTATTCCATGTGTGTCTAAACCACAATTTGTCAATTCTTCGTTTGAGGGACATTTGGTATATTACTAGTTTTGGGCAATTATACATAAAGCTGCTATGAACATTCATGTTCAAGTCTTTTTGTAGACATATGGTTTCATTTTTTTCTTGGGTAAACACCCAAGGGTGGAAATGCTGTATCATAGGGTACCTGTATGTTTAACTTTATGGGAAATTCTAGAATGATTCCCAAAGTGGTTATACCAGCTGTCCCCCCAATGTATGAGAGTCTGATTGCTCCACATCCTAACATTAAAATCTTCTTGATTTTAGCCATTCTAGTAGGTGTGTTGCATTATCTCCTATGAGCTTAATTTAGATTTTTCTGATGACTGATAATAACGAGCACTTTTTCATGTGCTTATTACTAAGTTGTATATCCTCTTTTGTGGAATGCCAATTCTTTGGCCCCTTATTAAAATTGTACTTTTGTCTTTTAATATTGTTGTAGGAAGTGTTTATATATTCTGTATGTTAGTCGTTTGTCAGATATATGTATTGGTAATATTTTCTCCCAGTTGGTGGCTTGCCTGTTAATTTCTCAATGGTGTCTTTTGATGAGCAGAAGTCTTTAATTTTGGCAGATTCTATTCTATAAATTTTTTCTTTCTTGGTCAGTGCTATGCCTTTATTTTAAAATTTCTTTTTTGCTTTGTTTTATGTGTTTTCTTCTTATAAAAATATCTAGCATATTTTCATTTATTGTTCTTTAACTTAATTTCAGTCTCTTGTAGTAAGAAAATTTAAGTGGTTTACATTTAAGAATTGAAAACTCTTAGTTTTATTCCCTCCATCTTACTTTGTTCTTCCCTTTTTTCTCTTATTCTTTATTTTTGTATGTTTGATCAAGTTACTAATCATTTCCTTTTCTTTCCATGTTAGTTTAGTAGTTTCTTGGTACT